GTCTTAGACACAAGGAGGCCCAGAGACTGGGAAGAGTCCCAATGGGGAGCCTCGAGGGATCAGTGGCCTCGAGCCCCAGGTGTCAGTGTTACGCCAGGGCCACAGGGGTCCCTAGGATACCGCCTCTGTTTGGCGCCCCCCACTGGGCCTCAGTGTATTCCTATTGAGCATAATTTTTAGGTCATCATCTGTCTTCGAGACCATATGAGTTCTCATCATTGACCCAACCAAGGCAGTCCCCACACGCCTCTGTGTTCTACCTGCCCGCTCAACATGCTTACCAGAGAGGGGTTGTGATGCGCAGGGTGGCCTTGAGGGCCCGTGGCTTGGGGCCTGTTCCCGAAGATAGGCCAAACTCCCCTCCGTGTGCCAGGTGGGATCTCCGTCGGGGTGCGTGATCTGCGCAGAGTGAGGCAGGTAAGCAATGACAAACGCCTTCCCCATCAGACCTCACCTGTGACAGTGGGAGGGATCTCAGAATGCGCGGGGCTGGGACTGCATTCATGACACAATCCTGCAATCCTGGCCTGGTGGGAAGGAAGGCTGCAGCGTGTCCACAAGACTCTCTGCCTCTGTGGCTCCACTGGAAACAAGGAAATTCAAGACCCACTGGCGTCTGAGCATGGAGGCTGCCACATCATGCACCAGGCCACATGCACAGGTCTTCCCGCAGCATGATTGGGACAGACCTTGGCAGGTTGGTGGCAGGCAGAATCCCGGGTCTTGGCTGGCAGGGAGGCGGCCCTGCATTTTGCCAGGAATGGGTGGGCATGGGGCCCCAGAAGGGCCCACGAATGCTACCATGCAGACACAACGCCAAGATCCCTTGGGGGAACATGGCCCTGACGGGCACCCAACCATCATCCAACACTGTCTCCATCACCGCTGCTCCATGGCTCTTGTGGGGATACCTCATCCCTTCCCGTGTTTGAGATTACGGTGAGGGAAGGGTGAGAGGCCAGCATGGTTCCCCAGCGCCCTCAAACACACTGAGACTCAGGGTCACAAGTCAAGAACCCCAGCATGCCCAGCCTCATGGCACTGACTAAAGGGCCATTGTCAGACAAAGCCCCATACAGCTGAGGGACGACTTGGGCCCATAAGGACATGCAACCACCAGAAGGTGCCAATGGTGAAGAACACGGAGGCAGGAGCACGCATGCCACTCGGGGTCTGGGCCACGCTACCTGAATTTTTTGGGCATCGTCTACCCGTTATGCCAAAACTGTCTAGTGTCCATCCAGGTAACTCTGGGCCCAGCCCCTGCCTCCAAAGCCCATTGCATGAAATTTGGACACACCACTTCCAAGCAGGAGGTCACATTGGCTGTCTGCAATGCCCACGGCAGCACGTCACTTGCCTACTAAGGCATCAGTCATTCTTACATCAACTGGAATGCCCTCCTACACTGGGAAACATGGCCCATGGGCCGACAAGTAAGAGGATACTGCGGGTGACCGTGGCACCCTTGCAGGTGTTGTGGGTGGCCTGTTTTTTTGCAAACACCCCAGTGCACAATGGAGATGTTCAGGGATACTCCAGCCCTCTGGGGTGAGGATGAAGCCCCAGTCCCACAAGATGGCTGGCATTTCCCTGTGGGCTTCCTCACCAATTGGCCCAAGGGTACTGGATCTTTGGGTACTCATAGACATCTACTCTCCTCCCATTGTGGGCTCAATGGCATGACCCTGGTCACCAAGACGACATCCCACTGAAAGACACCAGGACACCAAGGGAGCTGAGTTGGGTTCCCAGGGATGAGTCCCGGGAAGCACTACTAATGGGCACAAATGCCCCAGGGCGGGAGCACGTCTTAGGTGCATGGAGACCTAGAGACCGGGGAGAGCCCCACTGGGGACACTCAAGGGATTGGTCGCATTGAGCCCCAGATGCCAGCGCTATGCCAAGGTCACAGGGGTCACCAGGATCCTGGCTCAGTGTGGTGCCCTCCACTGGGCCTCAGTGTAATCCTATTGAGCATAATTTTTAGGTCATCATCTGTCTTCAAGACCATATGAGTTCTCATCATTGACCCAACCAAGGCAGTCCCCACACGCCTCTGTGTTCTACCTGCCCGCTCAACATGCTTACCAGAGAGGGATTGTGATGTGCAGGGTGGCCATTAGGGCCCCTGGCTTGGGGCCAATTCCCGAAGATAGGCCAAACTCCCCTCCGTGCACCAGGTGGGATATCGAACGGGGCGCGGGATCTGCACAGAAAGAGGCAGCTCAGCAATGACAAACACCTTTCCCATCAGACCTCACCTTGTGGCAATGGGAAGGATCTCAGAATGCGCAGGGCTGGAACTGCATTCATGATGCAATCCTGCAATCCTGGCCTGGCAGGAAGGAAGGCTGCAGTGTGTCCACAAGGTTCTCAGCCTCTGTGGATCCACAGAAAACAAGGGAATTCAAGATCCACAGAAGTCTGAGCATGGAGGCTGCCACAGCAGGCACCAGGCCATATGCACAGGTCTTCCTGCAGTGTGATTGGGACAGACCTTGGTGGGTCTGTGGCAGGCACAATCCCGGGATTTTGCTGGCAGGGACCTGTCCTGTGTTTTGCCAGGAATAGGCAGGCATAGGCCCCAGAAGGGCCCACAAATGCTACCACGCAGACGCAATGCCAAGATCCCTTGGGGGAACAGGGCCCTGATGGGCATCCCATCAGCATCTAACACTGTCTCCATCACCACTGCTCCATGTCTCCTGTGGGGGCACCTCATCCCTACTCATCTTTGAGATTATGGTGAGGGAAGGGTGAGGAGCCAGCACAGTTCCCTAGTGCCTTCACACTCACTGGGACTCGGGGTCACAAGTCAAGAAGCACAGCGTGTCCTGGCATGTGGCACCAACCAAAGGGCCAATGTCAGACAAAACCCCATTGAGCTGCAGAATGACCCATGGACCCCATAAAGACACGTGACCACCAGACGGTGCCAATTGTGAAGAAACCGGGGGCAGGAGCCGGCATGCCACTTGGGGTCTGGGCCATGCTGCCAGGTTTTTTCAGATACCATCTACCCATTATACCAAAGCTGTCTAGTGTCCATTTTGGTAACCCCAGGTCTGGTCCCTGCCTCCAAAGCCCATTGCGTGAAATTTAGGTGCACCGTTGTCAGGCAGGAGGTCACATTGGCAGTCAGCAATGCCCACTGCAGCACATCACGTGCCTGCTAAGGCATCAGTGATTGTGACATCAACCAGAGTTGATGGGAAATGTGGCCCATGGTCCTTCAAGTAATAGGATCTCCTGGGGTTCGTGGCATCCCTTGCAGGTTTCGAGGGTGTCCTGTGTTTTCCAGACAGCCTAGTGCAGAGGGGAGATGTTCAGGGACATGCCAACCCTCTGGGGAGAGGACGAAGCCCCAGTCCCACAAGATGGTGACCCTGGTCACCAAGACGACATTCCACTGAAAGACATCAGGACACCGAGGGAGCTTAGTTGGGTTCCCAGGGATGAATCCTGGGAAAGACTAGTAATGGGCACACAACACTCCTGGGCGGGAGCACATCCTACGTGTGCAGAGGCTCAGAGACTGGAGAGCCCACTGGGGAGCGAGTGATCGGTCGCCTCGAGCCCCAGGTACCAGCACTACACGAGAGCCACAGGGGTCCACAGGATTCTGCCTCAGTGAGGTGCCCTCCAATGGGCCTCAGGTAATCCTATTGAGCATAATCTTTAGGTCATCATCTGTCTTCCAGACCATATGAGTTCTCATCATTGACCCAACAGAAGCAGTCCCCTCCCGCCGCTGCCTTCTACCCGTGAGCTCAACATGCTTACCAGAGAGTGTTTGTGATGCTCTGGGTGGCCATTAGGGCCCCTGGCTTGGGGCCTGTTCCTGAAGATAGGCCAAACTCCTCTCAGTGTGCCAGGTGGGATCTCAGTTGGGGCCCGGGATGTGCACAGAGAGAGGCAGCTCAGCAATGACAAACGCCTTCCTCATCAGACCTCCCTGTGGCAATGGGAGGGATCTCAGAATGGGCGGGGCTGGGACTGCATTCATGACTCAAACCTGCAATCCTGGTTTGGCGAGAAGGAAGGCTGCAGCGTGTTCACAAGGCCTTCAATATCTGTGGCTCCACTGGAAACAAGGGAATTCAAGCCCCACAGGCATCTGAAAATGGAGGCTGCCACAGCAGGCACCAGGCTACATGCACAGGTCTTCCCACAGCGTGATTGGGACAGGCCCTTGGTGGGTCGGTTGCAGGCAGAAACCCGGGTCTTGGCTGGCAGGGCCCGGCCATGTGTTCCCCATGAATGTGTGGGCATGGGGCCCCAGAAGGGCCCATGAATGCTACCACACAGACGCAATACCAAGATCCCTTTGGGGAACAGGGCCCTGACGGGCAGCCCACCAGCATCCAACACTGTCTCCATCACTACTGCTCCATGGCTCCTGTGGGGACACCTCATCCCTTCCCATCTTTGAGAGCATGGTGTGGGTAGGGTGAGGGGCCTGCACAGTTCCCCAGCGCCTTCAAATTCAGTAGGACTTGGGGTCAGAAGTCAAGAACCACAGCGTGCCTTTGATTGTGGCATCATACAAAGGGCCATTGTCAGACAAAACCCCATCTAGCTACGGGACCACCCATGGGCCCCATATGGACATGCCACCACCAGAGGGTGTCAATGGTGAAGAACTTGGGTGCAGGAGCCTGCATGCCACTTGGGTCTGGGCCACACTGCCAGCATTTTTCAGATACTGTCTACCAGTTATGCCAAAGCTCTAGTGTCCATCCAGGTATCCCCGAGTCCGGCCCCTGCCTCAAAGACCATTGCATGAAATTTGGGCACACCACTTCCACGCAGGAGGTCATGTTGGTCATCTGCAATGCCCACTCTAGCAGGCCGAGTGTCTACTAAGGCATCAGTGATTCTGACATCAACTGGAGCGCTCTCCCACACTGGGAAAAGTGTCCCATGGGCCGTCAAGTAAGGGATCCTGCAGAGGACTGTGGAATCCCTTACATGTGTTGTGGGTGACCTGTTTTTTCCAGACAACCAAGTTCACAGGTCAGACATTCAGGGACATGCCAGCCCTCTGGGGCAAGGACGAAGCCCCAGTCCCAGAAGATGGCTGGCATTGCACTGAGGGCTCCCTCGTCAATCATCTCAAGGGTACTGGATCTCCAGGTACTCACACAGGCATCCACTCTCCTCCCATGGTGGTCTCAATGGCGAGGCCCTGGTCACCAAGAAGACGTCCCACTGAAAGACACCAGGACACCGAGGGAGCTTAGTTGGGTTCCAGGGATGAGTCCCAGGAAGCACTAGTAATGGGCACACAACGCCCCAGGGCGGGAGCAAGTCTTAGGTGCGCAGAGGCCCAGAGACAAGGGAGAGCCCCACTGGGGAGCCTCGAGGGATTGGTGGCCTCGAGCCCCAGTTGCCAGAGCTTTGCCAGGACCACAGGAGTTCCCAGGATCCCACCTCAGTTTGGTGCCCTCCACTGGGCCTTAGGTAATCCTATTGAGCATAATTTTTAGGTCATCATCTGTCTTCGAAACCATATGAGTTCTCATCATTGACCCAAACAAGGCAGTCCCCTCCCTCCTATGCCTTCTACCTGCCAACTCAACATGCTTACCAGAGAGGGTTTGTGATGCGCAGGGTGTCCATGATGGCCCCTGGCTCGGGGTGTGTTCCTGAAGATGGGCCAAACTCTCCTCCATGCAACAGGTGGGATCTTGGTTGGGGTGTGGGATCTGCGCAGAGAGAGGCAGCTCAGCAATGACAAATGCCTTCCCCATCAGACCTCACCTTGTGGCAATGGGAGGGATCTCAGAATCTGTGGGGCTGGGAGTGCATTCATGACGAAATCCTGCAATCCTGGCTTGGCGGGAAGGAAGGCTGAAGCATGTCCACAAGGCTCTCAGGCTCTGTGGCACCACTGGAAACAAAGGAATTCAAGCCCCACAGGAGTCTGAGCATGGAGACTGCCACATTAGGCACCAGGCCACATGCACAGGTCTTCCCGCAGCGTGATTGGGACAGACCTTGGCAGGTCAGTGGCAGGCAGAATCCTGGGCCTTGGCTGGCAGGGACCGGCCCTGAATTTTGCCAGGAATGGGTGGGCATGGGGCCCTGGAATGTCCCATGAACCCTACCACGCAGATGCAATGCCAAGATCCCTTGGAGGAACAGGGCCCTGACGGGCATCCCATCAGCATCCAACACTTTCTCCATCAACACTGCTCCATGGCTCCCGTGGGGACACCTCATCCCTTCCCATCTTTGAGATTATGGTGAGGGAAGGGTGATGGCCCAACACGGTTCCCCAGTGCCTCCAAACTCAGTAGGATTCGGGGTCACAAGTCAAGAACCACAGCGTGCCTTGGCTCGTTGCACCGATCAAAGGGCCATAGTCAGACAAAACACCATCGAGCTGCGGGACCACCCACAGGCTCCATAAGGACAGGCGAACACCTGAGGGTGCCAATCATGAAGAACCCAGGGCAGGAGCCCATATGCCACTTGGGTCTGGGCCACGCTGCCAGCATTTTTCAAATATCATCTACCCGTTATGTCAAAGCTGTCTATTGTCCATCCATGCAACCCTGAGTCCGGCCCTTGCTTCCAAAGCCCATTGTGTGAAATTTGGGCACACTGCATCCAGGCAGGAGGTCACATTGACCGTCTGCAATGCCCACTGCAGCACGTCACATGCCTACTTAGGTATCAGTGATTCTGATATCAACCAGAGCACCCTCCCACACTGGGAAACGTGGCCCATGGGCCATCAAGTAATAGGATCTCGGGGGGGATCGTGGCATCCCTTGCAGGTGTTGTGGGGGATCTGTTTTTTCCAGACACCCTAGTGCACAGGGGAGACGTTCAGAGACATTCCAGCACTCCGGGTGAGGACGAAGCCACAGTCCCAGAAGATGGCTGGCGTTGCCCTGAAGGCTCCCTCGCCAATTGGCCCAAGGTCACTGGATCTCTGGGTACTCACACAGGCATCCACTCTCCTCCCATGGTTGGCTCAATGGTGAGACCCTGGTCACAAAGACGACGTCCCACTGAAAGACACCAGGACACTGAGGGATCTTAGTTGGGTTCCCAGGAATGAGTCTCGGGAAGCCCTAGTAATGGGCACACAACTCCCCAGGGCAGTAGCATGTCTTAGGCGTGTGGAGGCCCAGAGACCAGGGAGAACCCCACTGGGGAGCCTTGAGGGATCAGTCGCCTCTAGCCCAGGTGCCAGCGCTACACCATGAACAGGGGTCCCCAGGATCCCGCCTCAGTTCGGTGCCCTCCAGTGGGCCTCAGCATAATCATGTTGAGCATAATTTTTAGGTCATCAACTGTCTTCGAGACCATATGAGTTCTCATCATTGACCCAAGCAAGGCAGTCCCCACCCGCCTCTGCCTTCTACCTGCCAGGTCAATCTGCTTAACAGAGAGGGTTTGTGATGCACAGGGTGGCCATGGAGGCCCCTGGCTCAGGGCCTGTTCCCGAAGATGGGCCAAACTCCCATCCAAGTGCCAGGTGGGATCTCGGTTGGGGTGCAGGATCTGCACAGAGAGAGGCAGCTCAGGATTGACACACACCCTCCCCATCAGACCTCACCTTGTGGCAATGGGAGGGATCTCATTCATGTTGGAATCCTGCAATGCTGGCCTGGCAGGAAGGAAGGCTGCAGTGTGTCCACTAGGCCCTCACCCTCTGTGGCTCCACTGGAAACAAGGGGATTTCAGCCCCAAATGATTCTGAGCATGGAGGCTCCCCCAGCAGGCACCAGGCCTGCACACCAGGCCTACACAGGCAACAGGACATGCACAGGTCCTTTTGCAGTGTGATTGGGACATACCTTAACTGGTCGGTGGCAGGCACCATCCCAGGCCTTGGCTGGCAGGGACTGGCCCTGCATTTTGCCATGAATGGGTGGGCATGGGGTCCAGGAAGGGCCCACGGATGCTACCATGCACATGCAACACCAAGACCCCTTGGGGCATCAGGGCACTGATGGGCATCCCTCCAGCACCCAACACTGTCTCCATCAGCACTGCTCCACGGCTCCTATGGGGACCCCTCATCACTTCCCGTCTTTGAAATTATGGTGAGGGAAGGGTGAGGGTCCAGCACAGTTCCCCAGCCCCTTCTAAGTCACTGGGACTCGGGATCACAAGTGAAGAACACCAGATTGCCTGGTTCGTGGCACTGACCAAAGGGCTATTGTCAGGAAAAGCCCCATCCAGCTGCGGGACGACCCGTGGGCCCCATAATGACTCGTGACCACCAGACGGTGCCAATGGTGAATAATCCAGAGGCAGGAGCCCACATGCCACTCAAGGTCTGGGCCACACTGCCAGAATTTTTCAGACACTGTCTCCCTGTTATGCCAAAGCTGTCTTGTGTCCAGCCAGGGAGCTCTGGGCCTGGCCGCTTCCTCCATAGCCAATTGAGTGAAATTTGGTCACACCGCTTCCACATAGGAAGTCACAGTGGCCGTCTGCAATGCCCAGCTCAGCACCACGCATGCCTACTAAGGCATCAGTGATTCTGACATCAACCAGTCTGCCCTCCCACACTGGGAAAACAGGCCCATGGGCCATCAATCAAGAGGATACTGTGGGGGACCATGGCTTCCCTTGCTGGTGTCATGGGTGACCTGTATTTTCCAGACAGTCTACTGCAAAAGGCAGACGTTCAGGGAGACTTCAGCCCTCTGGGGCAATGATGAATCCCCAGTCCCACAAGATGGCTGGAGTTGCCCTGAGGCCATCCTCACCAATAGGCCCAAGGGCACTGGGTCTCCGGGTACTCACACGGGCATCCACTCTCCTCCCATGGTGGGCACAGTGGCAAGTCCCTGGTCACCAAGACGACGTCCCACTGAATGACACCCAAAATCTAGGGATCTTAGTTGGGTTCCCAGGGATGAATTCCGGGAAGCACTAGTAATGGACACACAATGTCCCAGGGCAGGAGCATGTCTTCGGTGCACAGAGGGTCAGAGACTGGGGAGAGCGCCACTGGGGAGACTTGAGGGATTGGTCGAGTTGAGCCCCATGTGCCAGTAGTACGCCAGGGCCACAGGGGTCCCCAGGATCCTGCCTCAGTGAGGTGGCCTCCATTGGGCCACAGCATAATCCTATTGAGCATAATTTTTAGGTCATCATCTGTCTTCGAGACCATATGAGTTCTCATCATTTACTCAACCAAGGCAGTCCCCTACCGCCTCTGCCTTCTACCCATCAGCTCAACATGCTTACCAGGGATGATTTGTGATTCACAGTGTGGCCTGAGGGCTCCTGGCTCAGGGTCTGTTCCAGAAGATGGGCCAAACTCCCCTCCTGGTGCCAGGTGGGATCTTGGTTGGGGTGGGGGATCTGCACAGAAACAGGCAGTTAAGCAATGACACATGCCTTCCCCATCAGACCTCACTTGTGGCAATGGGAGGGATCTCAGAATGGGTGGGGCTGAGACTGCATTCATGACATAATCCTGCAATCCTGGCCTGGCAGGAAGGAAGGCAGCAGCATGTCCACAAGGCCCTTAGCCTCTGTGGATCCATTGGAAACAAGGGAATTCGGGCCCAACAGGAATATGAGCATGGAGGCCTCCACAGCAGGCACCAGGCCACATGCACAGGTCCTCCCACAGTATGATTGGGACAGACCTTGGTAGGTCGATGGCAGACAGCATCCCAGTCATTGACTGGCAGGGAACGGCCCTGTGTTTTGCCAGGAATGGGTGGGCATGGGGCGCTGGAAGGTCACACGAACTCTACCACGCAGACAGAATGCCAAGATCTCTTTGGGGATCAGACCCTGATGGACATCCCATCAGTATCCAACTCTGTCTCCATCAGCGCTGCTCCATGGCTCCCATGGGGACACCTCATCCTTTCCTGTCATTGAGATTATGGTGAGGGAAGGGTGAGGGGCCAGCACGGTTCTTCAGTGCCTTCAAACTCACTGGGACTCGGGGTCAAAATCAAGAACCACAGCGTGTTGTGACTGGTGGCACCGACCAAAGGGCCATTGTCAGGCAAAGCCCCATCCAGCTGCAGGACGACCCCTGAGGCCCATAAGGACACGAGACCACCAGACCATGCCAATGGTGAAGAACCCAGGGGCAGGAGACTGGATGGCACTCAGGTCTGGGCCACACTGCCAGCATTTTTCAGATACCATCTACCCGTTATGCCAAAGCTGTCTAGTGCCCTTCCAGGTCACCCTGGGTCCAGCCCTTGCCTCCAAAGCCCATTGCATGAAATTTGGACACACTGCTTCCATGAAGGCGGTCACATTGGCCGTCTGCAATGCCCACCACAGCACATCGCATGCCTACTAAGGCTTCAGTGATTCTGACATCACCCAGAGTGCCCTCCCACACTGGGAAACATGGCCCATGTACCGTCAAGTAAGAGGATCATGCAGAGGACCGTGGCATCTCTTGCAGGTGTCATGGTAGACCTTTTTTTTCCAGACAGCTTAGTGTACAGTGCACACGTTCAGGGACACACCAGCCCTCTGGGTTGAGGACGAAGCCCCAGTACCACAAGATGGCTGGCGTTGACCTAAGTGCAGCCTCGCCAATCGGCCCAAGGGCACTGGGTCTCTGGGTTCTCACACAAGCATCCACTCTCCTCCCATGTTGGGCTCAATGGGGAGACCCTGGTCACCAAGACGACATCCCACTGAAAGACACCAGGACACCGAGGGAGCTTAGTTGGGTTCCCAGGGATGAGTCCCGGGAAGCACTAGTAATGGGCACACAACGCCCCAGGGCGGGAGCACGTGTTAGGCACACGGAGGCCCAGAGACACTGGAGAGCCCCACTGGGGAGCCTCGAGGGGTGGGTTGTTATGTGCCCCAGGTGCCAGCTCTATGCCAGGGCCACAAGGGTCCCCAGGATGCCGCCTCAGTGCTGTGCCCTCCACTGGGATTCAGGGTAATCCTGTTGAGCATAATTTTTAGGTCATCATCTGTCTTCAAGACCATGTAAGTTCTCATCATTGACCCAACCAAGGCAGTCTCCACCCGTCTCTGCCTTCTATTCACAAGCTCAACATTCTTACCAGAGAGGGTTTGTGATGTGCAGGGTGGCCATGATGGTCCCTGGCTCGGGGCCTGTTCCTGATGCTGAGCCAAACTCCCCTCGGTGTACCAGGTGCAATCTCGGTCGGGGCGCTGATCTGCACAGAAAGAGGTAGCTCAGCAATGACAAACCTCTTCCCCATCCGACCTCACCTTGTGGCATTAGGTGGGATCTCAGAATGCATGGAACTGGGACTGCATTCATGATGCCAGCAAAAATCCTGGCCTAGCAGGAAGGAAGGCTGCAGCATGTCCACAAGTCCCTCAGCCTCTGTGACTCAACTGGAAACAAGGGAATTCAGGCCCCACAGGAATCTGAGCATGGAGACTGCTACAGCAGGCATCAGGCCACACACAGGTCCTCCCGCAGTGGGATTGGGACAGACCTTGGCTGGTCGGTTGCAGGCAGAATCCCGGGCCTTGGCTGGCAGGGACCGGTCCTGCATTTTGCCAGGAATGGGCGGGCATGGGGTGCCAGAAGGGCCCAAGGATGCTACCACGCAGAAAGAATCCCTTGGGGGATCAGGACCCTGATGGGTATCCCACCAGCATCCAAAGCTGTCTCCATCAGCGCTGCTCCATGTCTCCCAGGGGTACACCTCAACCCTTCCTGTCTTTGAGATTATGGTGAGGGAAGGGTGAGGGGCCAGCCTGGTTCCCCATCGACTTCAAAGTCATTGGGAGTCGGGGTCACAAATCAAATAACAAAACGTGCCCTGGCTAGTGGCACGAACCAAAGGGCCATTATCAGGCAAAGCCCCATTCAGCTGTGGAACGACCCACTGACCCCATAAGGACATGCAACCACCAGACGGTGCCAATGTTGAAGATCCCGGAGGCAGGAGCCTGCATGCCACTCGGGGTCTGGGACCCTTAGCCAGCATTTTTCAGATACAATCTACCTGTTATGCCAATGCTGTTTAGTGTCCAGGCAGGTAGCCCCAGACCCATCCCCTTCCTCCAAAGCCCATTGCATGAAATTTGGGTGTACCGCTTCCATGCAGGAGGTCACATTGGCCATCTGCAATGCCCACCACAACACCTCGCATGCCTACTAATGCATTAGTGATTCTGACATCAACCAGAGCACCCTCCCACACTGGGAAATGTGGTCCATGGTCTCTCAAGAAGAGGATCCCGCTGGGGAACATGGCATCCCTTTCAGGTGTCTGGGTGACTAGTTTTTTCTAGGCAGCCTACTGCACAAGGCAGACTTTCAGGGACACGTCAGCCCTCTGCTGTAGTGACGTAGACCAGGTCCCACAACATGGGTGGTGTTGCCCAGAGGGCATCCTCGCCAATCGGCCCAAGGTCACTGGGTCTCCGGGTACTCACACAGGCATCCACTCTCCTCCCATGGTGGGCTCAATGGCGAGTCCATGATCACCAAGACAATGGCCCACTGAAAGTCACCTGAAAAAGGGAGGGAGCTTAGTTGGGTTCCCAGAGATGAGTCCCGGGAAGCACTAGTAATGGGCACACAACGCCCCAGGGCGGGAGCACGTCTTAGGCGTGTGGAGGCCCAGTGACCCAGGAGAGCCCCACAGGGAGCCTCAAGATATCGGTGGCCTCAAGCCCCAGGTGCCATCACTATGCCAATGCCACAGGGTCCCAGGATCCCACCTCAGTGCAGTGCCCTCCACTGGGCCTTAGCATAATCCTATTGAGCATAATTTTTAGGTCATCATTTGTCTTTGGGACCATATGAGTTCTCATTGACCCAACCAAGGTAGTCCCCTCCCGCCTCTGCCTTCTACCCACAGCTCAACATGCTTACTAGAGAGGGTCTGTGATGAGCAGGGTGGCCATGAGGACCCCTGGCTCGGGGCCTGTTCCCAAAGGTGGGCCAAAATCCCCTCCGTGCACCATGTGGGTTCTTGGTTGGGCTGTGGGATCTGTGCAGAGAGAGGCAAGTCAGCAATGACAACTGCCTTCCCCATCAGACCTCACCTTGTGGCAATGGGAGGGATATCAGAATGGGCAGGGCTGGGTCTGCATTCATGATGCCAGAAAAATCCTGGTCTGTCGTGAAGGAAGGCTGCAGTGTGTCCACAAAGCTTTCAGCCTCTGTGGCTCCACTGGAAACAAGGGAATTCAGGGCCCAACAGGAATCTGAGCATGGAGGCCTCCACAGCAGGCACCAGGCCACACGCACAGGTCCTCCTGTAGTGTGATTGGGATAGACCTTGGTGGTTCTTTGGTAGGTAGAATCCCGGGTCTTGGGTGGCAGGGACCGGCCCTGCGTTTTGCCAGGAATGGGCGGGCATGAGGCGCCAGAAAGTCCCACGAACGCTACCACGCAAATGCAATGACAAGATCCCTTGGGGGATCAGGGCCTTGTCCAGCATCCCACTAGCATCCAAGACTGTCTCCATCAGCACTGCTCCATGGCTCCTGCGGGGACACCTCATCCCTTCCCATCTTTGAGATTATGGTGAGGTAAGGGTGATGGGCCAGCACAGTTCCCCAGCGACTACAAAGTCACTGGCACACGGGGTCACAAGTCAAGAACCCCAGCGTGCCTTGGCTTGTGGCACCAACCAAAGGGCCATTGTCAGGCAAAACCCCATCCAGCTGTGGGATGATTCATGGGCCCCATAAGGACACGCGACCACCAGACGGTGCCAATGTTGAACAATCCAGAGGCAGAAGCCCGCATGCTACTTGGTGTCTGGGCCATGCTGCCAACATTTTTCATATACCATCTAACCTTTAGGCCAAAGCTGTCTAGTGTCCAGCCAGGTAGCCCCGGACCCTGCCCCTTCCTCCAAAGCCCGTAATGTGAAATTTGGGTGCATCACTTACCCACAGGTTGTCACATTGGCCGTATGCATTGCCCACCGCATCACCTCTCATGCCTACTAAGGCATTAGTGATTCTGACATCAACCGGAGCACCACCCACACTGGGAAATGTGGCCCATGGGCTTTCAAGTAAGAGTATCCCATGGGGGACCATGGCATCCCTTGCAGGTGTCTCTGGTGACCTGTGTTTTCCAGACAGCCCACAGCACTGGGCAGACTTTCAGGGACACACCAGCCCTCCGGGGTGAGGACAAAGCCCCAGTCCCACAAGATGGCTGGAGTTGCCCTGAGGGCAGCCTCGCCAATCCGCCAAAAGGCACTGGGTCTCTGGGTACTCACACAGGCATCCACTTTCCTCCCATGGTGGGCTCAATGGTGAGACCCTGGTCGCCAAGACGACGTCCCACTGAAAGATACCAGGACACCGAGGGAGCTTAGTTGGGTTCCCAGGGATGAGTCCTGGGAAGCACTAGTAATGGGCACACAATGCCCCAGGGCGGGAGCACGTCTTAGGTGTGCCGAGTTTCAGAGTCCTGGGTGTGCAGCACTGAGGAACCTCGAGGGATCAGTTGCCTCAAGCCCCAGGTGCCAGTGCTACGCCAGGGCCACAAGGTTCTCCAGGATCCCGCCTCAGGGCAGTACCCTCCATTGGGCCTCAGCTTAATCCTATTGAGCATAATTTGTAGGTCATCATCTGTCTTCAAGACCTTATGAGTTCTCATCATTGACCCAACAAAGGCAGTCCCCACCCGCCTCTGCTTTCTACCCACCTGCTCAACATGCTTACCAGAAATGGATTGTGATGTCCTTGGTGGCCATGAGAACCCCTGGCTCGGGGTCTGTTCCAGATGATTGGCCAAATTCCCCTCCATGCACCAGGTGGGATCTCGGTTGGGGTGTGGGATCTGTGCAGAGAGAGGCAGGTCAGCAATGACAAACGCCTTCCCCCTCAGACCTCACTTGTGGCAATGGGAGGGATCTCAGAATGTGCGGGGCTGGAATTGCATTCATGACACAATTCTGCAATCCTGGCCTGGCAGGAAAGAAGGCTGAAGCGTGTCCACAAGGCCCTCAGACTCTGTGGCTCCACTGGAAAAAAGGTAATTCAGAACCCCACAGGAATCTGAGCATGGAGGCTGCTACAGCAGGCACAGGTCCTCCTGCAACATGGTTGGGACAGACCTTGGCGAGTAGGTGGCAGGCAGAAACCTGGGCCTTCCTTTCATGGAGTGGCCCTGAGTTTTTCCAGGAATGGGCAGGCATGGGGCCCCATAAGGGCCCACCAACGCTACCACGCAAACGCAGTGCCAACATCCCTTGGGGCATCAGGGCCTGATGGGCATCCCACTAGCGTCCAACACTGTCTCCATCAGCGCTGCTCCATGACTTCTGTGTGGAAACCCCATCCCTTCCTGTCTTTGAGATTACAGTGAGGGAAGGGTGAGGGGCCAGCACGTTTCCCCAGCGACTTCAACCTCACTGGGACTCGGGGACACCAGTCCAGATATCCAGCCTGCCCTGACTCGTGGTACCGACCCAAGGGCCATTGTCAGGCAAAGCCCCATCCAGCTGCGAGATGACCCATGGGCCCCTTAAGGACACATGACCATTGGACTGGGCCAATGGTGAAGAACCTGGAGCCAGAAGCCTACATGACACTCTGGGTCCGGGCAAGCAGATATATTCTACCCCTTATTCCAAAAGTTCTAGTGTCCAGCCATGAAGCCCTGGGCCCGGCCCCTTCCTCCAATGCCCATTGTGAGGAAAATCGGTGGAATCCCCACAGTCGGTTGCCTTGGCTGTCTGCAATGCCCACCACAGCAACTCTGGTGCCTCCCAGGGAGACAGTGATTCTGACATTAACCTGAGAGCCATCCCACACTGGAAAACATAGCCTATGGTCTGTCAATTAAGAGGATCCCACGGGGGACTGTGGCATCCCTTTCAGGTGTTGCAGGTGACCAGTTTTTTCCAGACAGCCTACTGTCCAGGGTAGAGTTTCAAGGACACGCCACCTCTCTGGGGCGATGTTTGAGCCCCAGTCCCACAAGATGGCTCGCCTTGCCCTGAGGTCAGCTTCACCAAATGCCCATGTGCACTGGGTCTCCGGGTACTCACACAGGCATCCACTCTCCTCCCATGGTGGGGTCAATGGCGAGAAAGTGGTCACAAAGCGATGTCCCACTGAAAGACACAAGGACGCTGAGGGAGCTTAGTTGGATTCCCAGGGATGAGTTGAGAAGCACTAGTGATGGACACACAACACCCCAGGGCCAGAACAGGTCTTAGGCATGTGGAGGTCCATAGACCAAGGAGAACCCCCTCAGTAACTGGAGGGATTTGTCACCTCGAGCCCCTGGGTCCAGTGGTAATCCAGGGCCACAGGATTCTCTAGGATCGTACCTCAGTGCAATGGCCTCCATTGGGCTTCTGCAGAATCCTATTGAGCATAATTTTTAAGTCATCATCTCTGTTCATGAGCATATGAATTCTCATTGTTGACCCAACTAAGGCAGTCCCTACATGCCTCTGTCTTCAGCCCTCCGGCTCAACATGGTTAACATAGATTGTTTGTGAAGCGCAGGTTGGCAATTTTTCTTCTGGCTTGCAACCTATTCCTGAAGCTGGGCCAATCTACCTTCCCTGAACCAGGTGGGTTCTATGTCCTGTCATGGGCTCTGTGCAGAAAGATGCAATTCAGCCATGAGAATGCACTTCCCCATCGTACTTCACCTTTTGCCATTGGGAGAGAGCTCAGAATGGGTGGTGGTGGACTGCATTCATGACACCAGCAAAAATCCTGGGATGGCAGGAAGGAAGGCTCCAGCATGGCGCCAAGTCCCTCAGCCTCAGCCCAGTGGCTCCACTGGACACCAGGGAAATCAGAGCCCCACAGGAAACTGATCATGGAGGCCGCAGCATCAGGAACATGGGCAGCCACACATGCCCCCTCACAGTGCAATTGGGACACCCCTTTGTGGGCCTGGGGCATGCAGAATCCTGGGACATCATTGGCGGGGCCAGCCTTGGGCTTTGCCACGGATGGGCAGGCATGGTGTCCTGGAACAGGTCACAGATGCTGCCTGGGGGACCCAACACAAAAATTAGTTGGGTGTCCTGGGGCATGGCATGCATCCCACCAGTGTCCATCGCCATCCCCAACCAGCACTCCTCCATGTCTCCCATTTGGACACCTCATCCCTTCCTGTCTTTGCACTTAAGGTTATTGCTAGGAGAGGGGCTACCATGGTTCCCCAGCGACTTCAACCTCATTGGGAATTGGGCCACAAGTCAAGAACCCCAGCATGCCCTGGCTCATGGCACCAACCAAAAGGCTATCATCAGGCCAAGCGCCATCCAGTTTGGGGAATTCCCACAGGCCCCATAAGGACATGAATCAGTAAGTCGTGGCCAATGGTGAAGATCTAGGAGTCAGGAGCCCGAATGCCACCCGAGGTCCAGTCCATGTTTCCAGCAATTTTTGGACACCATCTACGCACTATGCCAAAGCTATCTAGTGTCCAGCCAGGTAGCCCCAGTCCCAGCATCTTCCTCCATCGCCCATTGCATGAAATTTTGGTGGGAACTTTTCCCCATAGGAGGTCATGGGTGGGGGGCTCCAATGCCCACTGTCGCACCTTGCATTCCTCCAAGGGCCTCAGTGATTCTGACATCAACCTGAGAGCCTTCCTACAGTGGAGAACACAGCTTACAGGCTGGCAGAAAAGAGGATCCCTTGGAGGACCACGTAATCCCTTGCCTCAGTGTATGAGCGCAGGGATGCACTCACCTATTCTTATTGGTGCTGCCTTGAGACCCTGTCACGATGATGTTCCACTGAAAGACACACGGACATCAAGGTAGCTAATCCAAGGCTGCAAATGAGGTGTATCCAGAGTAACTAGTTACGAGCACACAAATCACCATTGCACGAGCCCAATTTGGTCACATTCAAGCCCCAAGCCTGGGGAGAGCCACACTGGGAGCCTCGAGGGATTGGTCACCTCAAGCCCAATTTTCCTGCAATTTCCAAGTGCCCCATGGTCTCCTGGATCCCACCCCATGATTGTCTCTTTGATTGGGCCTCAGTGTAATCTTATTGAGCATGATTTTTATGCCATCATCTCTGTTCAAGACCATATGAGTTCTCATCATTGACCCAACCAAGGCAGTCCCCACGAGCCTCTGTCTTCTTTCCGCCAGCTCAACTTGCTTACAAGAGATCGTTTATGAAGCACAGGTTGGCCATTTGGGCACCTGGCTCAGGGCCTATTCCCATATTGGGCCAATTTCCCACCATATGCCAGGTGGAATCTTTGTTTGGGCATGGGGTCTGTATCGAGAAAGGTAGGGAAGCTATGACAATACCCTTCCCCTTTGGCCCTGACCTGGTGGGCCATGTGCATGATACTCGAATTCATGGGGCCTGACTCATGATTCCAGCAAGGATTGAGGGGTGGCGGGAGTGCTGCAGCCTGGCACCCAAAGCCCTCAGCCTGTATGTGTATATGCTATCTTGGGAAAACCGGCCCCAACATGTGTCTGAGCATTGCACATGCACCACTAGGCAGCATTCTTGCTACACATTCTCTCCAAATGAATGGGTCAGTTTTTTTCGATCATGTTGCATACAGCATCATAAGCAATGGCTGGTAGGCTTGGCCTTTGGCTTTTGAGGAACGGGTGGGCTTGGCATCCTGGGATTGTCCAGGTCTGTATAAGACATGGTAATCAAAGCCCATTGAACCATGGAATATAATTCCTCCTCAGCAAGAATTTTAGTGGACCTCTGGGGAGCTGACCAATAGTTACCTGGCAGGCAAAACTCCTCCCCAGATGCTTCCATATGGAGACCCACAGAAAATACCTGGCATGTTCAATGGCCTGGTGTGCATTACATCAACATCACCATCTCCTAACAAGGATATATAGATGTCCTCTGCAGTGTCCACTCATTTCTTCCTGACCATCAGTCCAGTGGGGCCTTATGGAGAGATGCTTCCTGGTTTCCAAAGATGTGAACTTTATTGGCAAGAGTGTGTATGGAAGAGGAGCTCTGATCTTCTTTGGGCAAGGCACCATCTAAATTGTCTATTGCATGAAAAGGCCAAGGAGTTATGGTTCAGCATACAAAGCCCCACATCATGAGCATGTCTGGACATTTGGTTGCCTAAGGACATTGAAGAGCCAAACCCAGGAGTCAAATGATCAGTCACCTCAAGTCATAAATCCATCACTCTCCATTGGCCACATGAATCCCCTGGATCCTGCCACAGGATTTTCCATTCCATTTGGCCTCAGCATAATCTTATTTAGGATGACTTTTATGTTATAATGTCTTTTCTAGGCATTATGAGTTCTCATAATTGACACAACTGAGGCAGTCACCACTTGTCTGGGTCCCCCATTCTGAACATGCTTACAAGAGATAGTTTCTGGAGGGTGGGATGTGTGGCATGTCTTGAGTTTGGGATTATTCTTGAAGCTGGGACAAACTCATATATATTTTGCTGTGACATCTTCATATAGGTATGTGGTTTGTGTTCAAAAGACACTTCAGCTTTTAAAACACCTTATGCATTCCTTCTGCCCTTCTGGCCCACATCTGCTAGTTCCAGTTGCAGAATGCTATGTCTCAACACATGAGTCTATTATGCAATGATTGAAGACAGGAAGTATCCAGCACATTGCAGAAGGATATCTACCCATATAGCTGAACCCACAGCAATGAAATTCTGAGTTTTCACACAGGGGGGTGAGCATCATTTATGTACAACTGAGGAGCAGTCCCGGCACAATGCTTTCCTGAATGTGGCATGCAAATTTGAGGGCCATGGTATGTAGAGCACAGCATTAATTATTGCTAGGAATGAGCTCTATGTTGAAGCCTGGCCTGGGCACAGGGCTTCTGGGGACACAGGGAGCCAGGATATAAAGCACCATGAAATGCTTTCTTAGGAATTCATGTACGTGGAGTTCTGAAAAGCTGCCCACTGTCCTCCATTCAGGCAAAGTGTTGCCCTAGACCCTGCCTGACAGATGTCTTTCTGAGGTAGAGAGTGCCCTGCTGTGCATCCTATCACAATCCACATCTTCAAAGAGCAATGTCTATATGTCCCTGCTGAGACCAACTTCTCTCTTCATGATTTGGTGGTGAACGTGATTCAGGGATAGATGCTGGTATGGTTTGTAATCACACCCTTCCTCTTTGGTGGAAGGGTGCCTATAGAAAGGGATCTCATGGGGGAGTCATGACCATCCTATTCAAAATTCTCAACCTCACTTATAGTAACATACATGCTAGAGTGGTTTTGCTCTTCCCAGGGTCCTGGCTACCCACATAGATGGCATCTGCAGGAACTGCTCCACATCAATTGGTAAGAGACCAGTGGACCCATTACGCCTAGAAGCCACCACCAGTGAGCAGATGGGGAACACCACACAGGACCTAGTCTATACAGCTATGTCTCTAGACCTGGGGAAGAATTAAGCACTTCTCAGGTGCCATCTTTCTGCTATTAGAATTCTGTCTAATGTCCAGCTAAGAAGACCCCCCCCCCCAGTTATATTCCTGCACCACTGTCTCTGGATGCCCTGGGATGGTCCCTTGCCCTGCTGGATGCTGCATGAGGCTTCAATGCCCACTTAGTACTTAGTGTCCCTGAAGTGCATTAGCAATATTGGCCTCACGCTGAGTACAAACTGATACAAATTAATGTGGCCTGTGTTCCAATGGAGGAGAATTGTCCTCCCTGGACATTAAGATCCCTTTCAGGTGCAATGATAATGTTTCACTTTCTTGACCTCCTACTGTGTAGGGCTGATGGTCACAAAGAATGTGATGGCTATGAATGTCTCCATCCTGACTAAAAGTCAAGCATTGCCTTGAAGAGAGCCTCCCCATGCACCCTATATCCTCTGCATCCTCTGTCTCTGGTCAGATGCATTCACTCACCTCACATGGTGGAGTCAACGATGAGATCCTGGTCATGAAATCCCGCTGAAAGACACAAGAAGACCAATGGTGCTAAGGAATAGCTCCAAATGAGGTGTCTTGGGAGGAACTACGTGTTTGCATACAAAGCCTACAGCATGAGAATATCTTGGGAATGTGGAATCCCACTGACAGTGGATGGACACAGGGGGATACCTCTGGGGATTGGTAATATCAAGCCTCAAATTCTATCACTCTCTGAGTGCTACATGGCATCCTGGGATTCTTACCCATGATTGTGCTCTCTACTGAGTCTCAGTGTGATTTAATTGCATATGATTTTTAGGTTATCATCTGTCTTAAAGACAATATAAGTTATTATCATCGACCTGACCAAGGCACTCCCCACATGTCCATGTGCTCCCACCTGAACATGCTTACCAGAGATGGTTTCTGGAAAGCAGGAAACCCGGGTGCCACATGAGTTTGTGCCTATTCCTGGAGCCAAGCTGACATATGTGCATGTGGGGGCGGGGAATCTTCATCTGAGGATGTGTTCTGTGTAGAGAGAAGTAGAACAGTTGTCAAAGCCACCTTCCCATATGTGCCATTTTTGTTTTATATTTATTACACTTTCATTAATTACATAATAAATGAATGTATTTAGACTAAATCAATAAATTCATGTATAATTATAATGCTTTAGCAAATCCATATGTATCTTCATTCATAAATAAATGTTAAATATGAAAATAGTCTTCATTTATATATATAGATTTACACTCATTCAAAGGCCCAGACTTTGAATTCTTTATTTGTAAACTCTCTATGTTTTTCATAATTTTACTTTTATGGCTCATTAATTTTTCTTGCTTATATTTGATTTTCTTGGAGCAGTAATTTAATATTGTTCAGGAACACTCTTGAAATGATGATATTAATTGATATGGAATTGGTTTTCTGGAAAACCTACATCTGAAGTCTTTAAAAGATGCTTGCTCCCTATCATCTAGGGAGATCCCTGCACTATAACTTCCAGTTCATGTTTCAAAAGCCATGTATGTTTTGTTTATATTGTCTTCCATATCCTGCTAACACTGTTTAAAGTGTGATGCTTACACTTCATAATCCAGGTGTATGGTTCCAGTTATTTTATAAAAGAAACATGATCTCATGAAGGAGTTGATTTAATGATTCTGAAGAATTTTTCTAATTTATATCTATGAAAGTATTTTTGACAGAGTTTTTGTATTCTTGATTGTCCATTCTTTAAGACATAACTTTTCTCCAAATAAATTCTTCAAATGGTATGAAAACTAGTGCCCTCTTGGGTGAAACTTAGCTGGTCAGAGTTCTCATCATGAAGAGCTGGCAATAACAATAACCCACAATTTGTTAAATTGTCATT